CAGCACTTTCCTTCAGTTAATTATTTCCTATTTATCCTGAATATAGTTAGCTTCATACATATTTGTTTGCATGTGGTCTCTTCCATTAGGTTGTAAGCTTCTTGAGGGCAGGGACTGTCTTTTGCCTCTTTTTGTATCCTCATCGATTAGCATAGTGCCTGGTGCATAGTAGGTCCTTAATAAATTTTGATCAACTGACTGACTATAGTTCCTTTCTGCATAATGTAGTTTCCTTTTTTAATCCCCCTTTTAAGGCTATAAATGTTTGTTTTTGCTCCATGTGATAGTGTGATGGTAACTCCTGCAATTTTGGAGATACCTTGTACATAGTAGGGCTTCCCCCTCCTTCAGCCCCTCATTTTTACTGTTTTTGTCTTTTTGTTTTAGGCACATATTTTTTTTGTAAGCAGCAGACTGTAGGATTTTGTTTTCCTATCCAGTCAGTTACTGGTTTTCATTTTATTAGATTCACATTTAAAGTTACGAGAGTTAGGTTTATATTTTTGACTATTTGTCTCTAATACATTTTTCTGAGTTAGGATTTTTTTTTGTTTCTCTTCCTCTGTTAAGATAGTACTTTGTCTTTTCATTTACCTTTACTTAGTCTACTTTAAGGCAATCACATTCCCATAGGCTCTTTTCTCCTCACCCTCATGTTTCCTCCTATTTGTCACCTCTTTCCCAGGTTTTAGAATTTTGTTTCGATTACTAAAATTTATTTTTCTTTCTTCCTTTTAGTGAGTAGCTAATTCTTTTTCTTTTTTTCTCTTGGTTAAGTAGTCAAGTAATTCTCCCTTCTCCTACTTCCTTTCAACCTGCTTGTTGCTATGTTTTTAATTTTCTGCACCTTTTTTCTTTTTTTAATTTAATTTAATTTTCATTTCTGAATTGTCTTTGTATACTCTCCCCCACCCGTTGAGAAAGCAACAAAAATAAAGCCTCTTAAAAAATACTTATAGTCATAAAAAGTAAATTCTCAGATTAGCCACATCCAAAAATTAAGAAAAAAAAAAGAAAAGAAATGAGTATATCAGTTCTTTATCAGGATGTGCACTGCATATTTCATTATGATTTTTTTGGAGTTGTAGGTGGTCACTGCATTGATGGGCCTCTCTTGAGTCTTGTATTTGAAGATCAAATTTTCCACTGAGCTCTGGTCTTTTCATCAGGAAAGTCTCAAAGTCCCTCATTTCATTGAATGTCCATCTCCTCCCCTGAGAGATTATGCTCAATTTTGCTGAGTAGTTGATCCTTGGTTGTAATCTAAGCTCCTTTGCCTTACGGAATATCATATCCCAAGTCCTCCACGTACCTTTTTCTAAAAAGGTGTTTTTCCCCTTATTCTCTTCCCATTCTAGACTTGATTTATTCTTTTATTCATAACTCTTACGCTTATCTATTGCTTCTTTAGTCTTTGTATTCTCCACAGTTTCTAGGGTATTTTGAGTTTCCTCTTCTAAGCAGTTTCTATGTTGTTGATTATTTCTATTTTATTCTACTGCTTAGTAGATCTTGCCCCTTTTTCTGTTGAAAGAGAGAGAGAGGAGGAAGAGGCCCTAGATGGGCAGCAGGAGAAGCTTCGACCATTGGAGTGAGGAGGCAAGAGATGCCTCCACCCTTTGAGCAGCGAATATGTGTCATGCTGCAGCGAATGGGTGTGGGCAGGGGAGGTGGAGGAGGTGATAGCAAGAGGAAGCAGAGCAGAGATGGGGAGATAAAAAAGGCTGGCTCAGATGGAGGCATCACGGACAGCTCCACTGAGTCGCTGCCCCTCTCCCTCAAATCCAGGACACACTCCGTGTCTGCAGACTCATCATGCCATCCAGGACCAGGAGGCCGGGGGCCGGAGCCTGTGGCCTGGAAGGCCGTGGGCAGACGGCTGAATGCAGAGCTCAGAGGGAAGGGCTGGGACTGGCCAGGACCCCAGACACCCTCCCCTAACCAGAGCCCAGCTTCCCAAGCCACTGTCCCAGTCCATCCCGTCAGCTATCCCCACAAAGAGCCAGCAATGCTGGGAATTGCCAGCTCACCCAGGACACTATCCTGTGAACTAGGAGCGAAGACGATCACCTGAAGCCCCAAGCTGTCTTGGCCACCCAAAGAGCTGTATCTGTGCCTGAGGAACAGCTCCAGGCCCCGGCAGCAGCTACGTCTCCCATCAGAGACCTGTCCCTGTGGCTACATCACTCTCACGTCCTCAAACGTTGTCCCTGGGTTGAAGGCCCCTCGTCATCACCAAGTCTGGGGTCAGTCATGAGCACAGAGCCCTGGCTGCTGTTGCCACCAGACAGGCTGCCCCCAGAGGTGTCTGCCAGCCTGGAGTCCATCCCCTTCGCTACCCCTTCCCCAGCTACAGCCCCTGACCTAATTCTCCACCCTCTCACCTTTGGCCACATTGGATCATTTTATTAAAAAACAAACCTCAAAAAAAAAGAGAGAGAGAGACAGAAGCACAGACAGACAGAGAACTGAGATAGTGATCATAGAAGTATTGCCCCATGGTAGAATTTTTCCTGAGTCATTGATTTTGCAGTTCATTACTACCCCCCCCATGATGATTCCCTCCCCAGTTTGCCCTGAAATCTCTTTGAGTCTATGCCGTCTCACCCTTCTTGATGTTAGTTGCCCCCAGCCGCTCTGATTCCCCTTTCCCCGAGGCAGGATGGCATTCATGAAGGTATAACACTGTCTTGGAGGTAGTAGTCTTAAGCACCAAATCCTAGCATATGTATATAGTGCTTACTGTGTGTCAGGCTCTGTGCTAAGTGTTTTACAATTATTTCATTTGATGCTCACAACAACCATGGAAAGTAAGTGCTATTATTATCCTCATTTTAGAGGTGAGGAAACTGAGGCAGGCAGAGGTTAAGTGACTTGCCCAAGGGTCATAAGGTAATAAGTATCTGAGGCCGCATTTGAACTTAGGTCTTCTTGACTCCAAGACCAGTGCTATGTCTACTGCCAGATAATATCCACTGTATCTCCTATTATAGAATATTTCTTATTATTTCTTATCCATCTTCTTGGCCCTGGAGGGTAGAACCAGATGAAAGTTGCAGAGCCAGATTTTAGCTGTCTATGATGAATATATTCCTAATAGTGCTATACAAAAGTAGGATGATCTATTGGAAGGTTGAGAATAGGGTCGCCCTTCCCTGGAGATAGTCAAGAATAACCCTTTGTTGGAGCTGCTGTAGAAGCTATTCTTGGCCAAGGACAGAGTGGACCTCCAAGATCCCCTCAAATTCTGAGGTTATGATTTGCAATTCTACGTGAAAGAAATATTAGACATTCTGTTTAGCAGGGAAAGAACTCAAGGGCAGAAGCTATAGAGAGGTAGACTTTGTGAGGAAAATACAAGGACAAACTTCTCAATTATGAAAGTGTAAGAGGCATGGCTGAATGGTTGAGTGTAAATAGGTACTGAAGCTGTTTTAGGTTCCACCATGAATGGTAGTTGTTGGAAAATGCAAGCTAGGCCCACCCATTACAAAAGCTTTCTGACGATGCAATTGTTTGGCAGGTAGGGAGTTCCTTGTCCCTGGAGGTGTTCAGGCAGAGGCTGGCTGGCAATGTGTCATGCAATCTGCATAGGGGATTTATGGACTAGATTCTATCAGCTTCAGAACTGGACACTAACATCTTTTAACCAAGGAATGCAGCAAATCCTCATCCTTTTTCTCTTCCCTTTCAAATAAACTACCAAGGGTTAAGACGCTCCAAGGTTAATTTTCTCTTGGAAGAATGTGCAAAGAGGGGCAAAAAGAATGGGACAGCAGAGTCCAATTCTTCCCATACACACATCATGAGAGTTTCCAACATGGTTTACATTTCTCTCTCCCCCACCATCCATGATAGGATTAGACAGATCTTAAAGGGATAGAGTTAGGCGGAGCAAATGTCAGGAAAATCAAATGTCAGCAAATCCCTAGTCTCACTGATAACTATGTATGACCTTTGGAAAGTCTTCTCTCTGGGGCTCAGTTTCTCTAATCTGAAAACAGAACCAAAAACAGAGCCTCCAAGCTTACCTTCCAAGGAAACAATATGAAGAATGACCAAGAGTGACTGTGCATGATGCTTTCAGAAGTGGAGCGTAATGATTGGGCCTGGGGAACTGAGAGGATGGGATTTAATTTCAGGGGAAAGAACAAGGCACATGCAATGATTTAGGTTAGAGGGGTCAGATTAGTCTGATTGGGATGGAGGTTAATAAGTCTGGCCCTACCACTAATCAGCTACTTGACCTTTGGCAAATTACCTGGTTTCAGTCTATGGCTTTGGTTGTAACATGAAGGGGTTTGAATCCTACAATTCTAGGATTTGAATGGGGAATCCTAAGCTTAAGAAGAAGGGGAAAAGAAAGGTCCTCATTGTGTTGGCAGTCAGGAAATGGACTCATAGGGTGCAGCTTTAGACCAGCAGTCTTGGTTGAAGAAAGGAGGGTGTGGATGTGGGGAGGGAGTGAGAAGTAGAGTTTCAAGGAGACAACACATGGTGAAAAGAGTCGAGGAACTTTCCAAGGCTGAGGACACACTGCTAGGAAATACAGCTACACTTATCAGGATCCAGCATCCCAAGCCTGGTAGGGGTGATGGTGATGTTTTATCTGATAACTGACGAGCCTTCTACTGTCCCTATAGAGCTTTCCTTGCCCCAAACACTCAGCAAATGAGGCTTTAGTGTTAGAAATGACAATACACACCCCCCTCCAGGATTTAGAGGATCCAAGGAGAAGAGGACAGGCCTCCTCTTCTCTATAGACAACACAGACCTTGGTTTCTAGGGTGAAGAATAAGATTCACTTTGATACCAAAGGTTTCCTGCAGGGACATTCTAGCTTTTTATGAAAGCTAGAAGTAACTTTGAGTTATTATCACTCGTCAGAGATATAGTCTCTGGAGTTCCACCATATTGATAGGTCTTCCACTGTGGCTCCCAGCCCCTCTCCCCTCAATCACTTATTCCCTGCCCCAAAAAAGGAGTTGGCCAATCCAGGATGAGGGTATCAGACAGCAATAAATTTATTGAGTATTCCAAAAAATAAAAATCAACACAAACCAGTAAAAAATAAGAACATTGGGACTATGGAAAATATATGTTAAAAAATGCAAGAGGAAAAGGGTCCAGGGTAGAAAGGGTACAGAAATTGAGCTAACACATCATAATGGGGACATCAGGGCTGGGAGGCAGGAGGGGGGATATTATTAAATACTGAATGATTGAAGTTTGGGAACCTTTAATGTGAAGCAACTAGAAGCCGGGTGCCTAGCTCTCAGTTAACTGGAAGCAAAGATGGAGGACTCTGTCAGATGACTGGATGATCCGGAAAAAACTTGCCCTGGTGAGGGAGACTCTCTGTCCCAACCCCAGCCAGCAGCAGGCTTCTTCCTGGGTCCTGCCCACTCAGTGCTTCCTGTCAGACCCCTAGTGACTTCACTTGGCCCCCTGGGCCTCTGATTCTTCTTCATCATCCTCATACATCTCCCCTTCCTCTTCTGCTGTGGCATCCTGGTACTGCTGGTACTCAGACACCAAGTCATTCATGTTGCTCTCAGCTTCTGTGAACTCCATCTCATCCATCCCTTCCCCAGTGTACCAGTGAAGGAAGGCCTTGCGACGGAACATGGCGGTGAACTGCTCAGAGATGCGCTTGAAGAGCTCCTGGATGGCCGTGCTATTGCCAATGAAAGTAGAAGACATCTTCAGGCCACGGGGCGGGATGTCACAGACAGCCACCTTCACATTGTTGGGGATCCATTCCACGAAGTAGCTGCTGTTCTTGCTCTGAATGGCCAACATCTGCTCATCCACTTCCTTCATAGACATGCGGCCGCGGAAGACGGTAGCCACTGTCAGGTAACGCCCATGGCGAGGGTCGCAGGCTGCCATCATGTTCTTGGCATCAAACATCTGTTGGGTGAGCTCAGGAACTGTCAGGGCTCGGTACTGCTGGCTGCCACGGGCTGTGAGTGGAGCAAAGCCAGGCATGAAGAAGTGTAGGCGAGGGAAGGGAACCATATTGACAGCCAGTTTCCGGAGGTCGGCATTGAGCTGGCCAGGGAAACGCAAGGAAGTGGTCACACCGCTCATGGTGGCAGAGACCAGGTGATTGAGGTCGCCGTAGGTGGGGGTGGCTAGCTTGAGGGTGCGGAAGCAGATATCGTAGAGGGCTTCATTGTCGATACAATAGGTCTCATCTGTGTTCTCCACCAGCTGGTGGATGGACAGGGTCGCATTGTAGGGCTCCACCACTGTATCAGACACTTTAGGGGAGGGCACCACGCTGAAAGTGTTCATGATTCGGTCAGGGTACTCCTCTCGTACCTTGCTGATGAGAAGGGTGCCCATACCAGAGCCAGTGCCCCCACCCAGGGAATGAGTGAGCTGAAAGCCCTGGAGACAGTCACAATTCTCACACTCTTTCCTCACCACATCTAGCACTGAATCCACCAGTTCAGCCCCCTCAGTGTAGTGACCCTTGGCCCAGTTGTTTCCTGCACCACTCTGACCTGTGAGACAGGGAATAGAATAAAATAACCGAAGGGGGTGAAAATCAACAGTTGGGCTCAGTGGGGTAAGCAGGCCAGTAGGCTACATCAGCACTGGCATTTACAGTGTACAAGGAGCTTTCAAATCCATTCTTTTAGCAACCCCATGAGGCAGACAGGGAAACTGTTATGCCCTCTGATTTACAGAGCATCAGAGAGATGAAGTGAATTGTCCAAGATCTCGTGATTACTAAAGGGCAGCTGAGACTTGAACCCAGGTCTTCTTATTCCTGGCCTAGTGTGCTTTCTATTATACTAGGCTGCTTCAGACACAAAGGGAAAAGCAATAAACATCTTTGCCTCCGTTTTTCCATTTGTGAAATGTGGATATCATTGTCACATAGCCCTATGGCTCTTTAAAGTTCATCTAGAAGGAGTTCAGCATGTACTACATGGAAGTAGTCAGACCAGGAGAAGACTCATGTTCTGCTCCTTACTAGCTGTTGACCCAAGTGATCTTGGGCAAACACTTTGCCTTTCTACACCTCAGTTTCCTTATCTGTAAAGCAGGGATAAAACTTACCCTGCCCTACTTACCCTCACAGAGATATCTGAAGGATCAGGTGAGAAATTATATATGAAAGCACTTTGAAAAGTAAAGCACTGGTAAATAAATGCAAGGTTCATTGAATAACCCATTCCCCTCTACCCTCTGCTATGCCATCACTTTTGTTATTTCTTTATGGGGATTTTTATATATGGAGTTTGTCTAAAGAAGGCGGGGTGGTGGAAGGGAAAGATACCAAAGATGAAGTTGTCAGGTCTGAAGAGATGTCCAAAAGCACCAGATCGAACGCTGTCCATGGTTCCAGGTTCCAGGTCAACCAGGATGGCCCTGGGCACATACTTGTGAGCTAGGGATATGAAAAAACAGACGGATTATATAAGGCACTGTGGGTCTAGGACCAAAGATGACAATTCCACTTCGTGAAGCTTTCCCTAGAAAGACTCTTGCTCTGGCTTGCTGAGGTCCTTTCCACTTCAAAGCTCAGTCAGCCTAAGTCTACCCTGTTATACCCATTCTTCCAGCACTTTCTTAGGCAAAGCCTGAATAAATCCATCCACTGCCAGAAGGGAGGGGGAGACTGGGAAATATCTTTCAGATCAATGCAGTGACCGATCTTAAATTCAGAGAACTGAGAAGGAACCATGCCTCTTGCTTCCCAGCAGAGAGGTTAGGAATGAGGCTTACATCTCCAGACATGACTAATGGGCATATTTGTTTTATTTTCCTGTACTTTTGAGACAAAGGAGAGTTATATGGGGTTGAGGGAAGATAACTGGTAAGTGACAGGGATATTTTTTGAAAGAAGAAAACATTTAAAAAGAAATGACCTCCCAAAGTATAGCTTAGCCACTAGACAGAGATCTTCTGCCATTGGAATGGGCTATTGGGATTATTAACATGTATGCACATCTCTGAAATACCATTAAGGAGAAATCACTGAAGTGGATCTTCATAAAATGCTCAGTCTTTCCTTAGTCCCTGCCCCTCTCTAACTGCACAGGCCCTCTACCACCACACACTATTGTTGATCTCAATTTAATCTATTTTTTTCCTAATCCAGCTAACTGGATGACTGCCAATTTCAATACAACGAACATTTGTTAGACGCCTACTGTGTGTAGTGCAGAGCACTGATGTAGGTACTGTGGCTGAAGAAGGGAAATGGATTTAACATAAACCACAGTCTGTCCTTGTAGAGAGCTTAGAGTCTAGTCAGGGGATGTAACACATAAACAAGCAGAATATATTATTTAGTATCTGATTTATTGTACCTCTGGGGGGTGAACAACATGGAAGTCAGCAAAATGATGCGCGAGATCCCAATGGGAAAAGGTCATTCCTTACTTGGGAGATCAGAGCCAGCCCAGCACTTCCTTCTAGCTTCCATCCCATCTTGAGGGGTCCTTCCCATCTCACTGGCCACCACCTCAACCTCCAGAGTCTCTGAGGTCCCATTGATCCCCCAGCCCTCAGGTTAAAACATCTTTAGGTCATGCCCACAGGGTAACAGCAGATTAGGAAGGGTCTGAAAGCCATGTTGGTTGGGGAGATACTCACATGAGGCTTCATTGTAGTAAACACTGATCCTCTCTAGCTGTAGGTCTGAGTCACCCACATAGTTGCCACTGGGGTCTATGCCATGTTCATCACTGATCACTTCCCAAAACTGATGAGAGATGCAGACGGACAGACAAGACAGATGGTCAAGGAAAGGGAAGTAGTCAACAGCGTCAAGCCATGTTGTCCAACACTTAGCACCCACCTCCAGAGCCTAGGAATCTGGAGGTGTAGATTCTAGGTTCTGTGACTTTAGCACTCACCTCCAGAGCCTAGGAATCTGGAGGTCTGGCTTTTAGGTTCCGTGACTAACTACCTTAGGCAAGATATATAACCTTGTTGGGACTCAATTTGACCTCTTTTTCCTCTATATTTGTGAGAGGCAACCTGGTATAGTGGGAAAAGCATTGGAGGGTGACATCTAGGAAGATGTCAGAGAGAGAAGCTGCAAGAAAAAGGCACATTGGCCTTGGCTTCAGAAGACCTGGTTCCAGCTCCATTACTTACTTTTGGAACTTTGGACATGTATAAAATGGGAATGATTTTTGAATTATCTACCTCAGAGGTTTCTTGTGAAGATCAGGTGAGAATGTATGTTTTTTTAAAGTGTTTTAACACTTGGTCATCATAAAATGCTTTTTAAGTTTCAGAGGTAGCCAGGTGGTACAGTAGATAGAGTGCCAGGTCTGGGGTTAGGAAGACTTGAATTCAAATTCAGCCTCAGACACTTACTAGTTGTGTGACCCTGGGAAAATCACAACCTCTATTTGCTCCAGTTTCCTCATCTATAAAATGGGAATAATAATAGCACCTGCCTTCCAGGGTTGTTATAAGGATGAAATAAGATAATAATTGTAAAACACTTAGCACATTGCCTGGCGCATAGAAAGTGCTATACAAAGGTTTTGTTGTTTTTCAATTGTGTTCAACTCTTCATGACCCTGTTTGGGGTTTTCTTGGCAAAGTTACTGAAGTGGTTTGCCATTGCCTTCTCCAGCTTATTTTACAGATGAGGAAACTGAGGCAAATAAGGTTAAATGACTTGCCCAGGGTCGCACAGTTGGTAAGTATCTGAGGCCAAATTTGAACTCAGGAAGAAGAGTCTTCCTTGCTCCAGGCTTGGCCCTCTATCCACTGTACCACCTAGCTGCCTATATAAATGTTAGCTGTTGTTATTATTATCATTATTTTAAAGTGAGTCATTGTTATTATTCAGTTAGTCTGTCAAAAAGCATTTAGGCTTTTTGTATCTAACATGTGCAAGACACTATACTAAATACTGAGAATACAAAGGAAGAGTAAAAACAGTTTCTGTCCTCAAGGAGCTCCCATTCTATCAGGGTGGACAACATGTAAATAACTAGGTGCAGACAAGACACATACAGAGTAGATGAAGGCATTCTGAAAGAGGAAGGATTTAGCAGCTGAGGGCTGGAGACAGGGGAAAGGCCTCCTATAGAGGATGAGATCTCAATGAGTCTTGAAGAAAGCCAGGGAAAATTTAATCCTTGCCCTTTAGCTTATAAGGTTGTTGTGAAAATCAGATGAGATGAAGATCTTTGAAGTTTTAAAAAAATTTTTTTTGGCTAGGCAATGGGGTTAAGTGACTTGTCCAGGGTCACACAGCTAGTAAGTGTTATGTGTCTGATCTAAAGCTGAATTGGAACTCAGATCCTCCTGAATCCAGAGCTGGTACTCTATCCACTGTGCCACTTCACTGCCCCTTGAAAAGTATTTTTGAAAACTTTAAAATGCAAGGGACTTTAAAAATCAATGCTAATCACTAATATGGGTCAAGCCTATTCTTGTGCAACTTTCCCCTAGGACGTGCTCCTCATTTCAGATTCTTACCTTTTACACCTGTAGCTGGAACTATTTAAAAAAGCTCAGGATCAGAGATTTAATGATAGAAAGAACCTTCCTCATCTGTAAAATGAAGATAATAACAGTACCCGCCTCACAGGGATGTTGGGAGGCTGAAATGAGATAACAAATGCAAAGTGCTTGGCAGACCTTAAAGCACCATATAAATGTTAACTATTGTTACCACTGTATCCAACTCCTTTATTTTACAAATGAGGAAACTGAGGCCCAGAGACATTAAATGACTTGCCCAAGGTCACATAGGTATCAAGTAGCAAAACTGGACTCTGAACCCGGGTCCTCTCACTCCAGATTCCTCAACTGCAACATAGAGATATTATTAGCATCTACTTTTCAGGGTTGTTGTGAGGACCAAAGGAAATATTATTTGTAAAAAACTTAGCACAGTGCCTGGCACATTCTAGGTGCTAGGTAAAGGATTATTCCCTTTCCTCCAGATACCGGGCTGTTTCCATGGTACTGCTCTGCTAAAGTGAGTTTTCAGAGCAGATATACTCACTTATATTTTAAGTCCTACCTTCACTGGGTGGGTGTGTTCTTCCTTCAAATGAGATATTTGTAAAGTGGTTAGTTAGCACAATGCTTAGCACATAGTACTAGAAACTTAATAAAGGCCCCCACCTCCCATATTCCTTGGCCATCCCTCCACCTATCACTTACACTATGACTAGAATAACTTTCTTTGAATAGTTCTATTTTCAGAAACAGGATTTCTAAGCTATGTCCTAAAGCCAAGAATTTTCTGAGTGTAGAGTCCCACCAAGCATTCTGGAATAGTTGTTTTTGGACCCTGACTAGACATTTGGCTCCTGGGTCAATGGTCCTACAAAAAGCATCATGTCCTAGGAAGGAGGAGAAGATATCAGGAACCTTAATGAGAAATACAGTAGATGAAGAACTATGGGAACAGTAATATTTCATTAATTCATAATTTCATTGGTGTGGACACTCCCTTCATAGGTAGAGGTTGCCATTCCTCTGTCCCTTAATAGACAATTTTAGATGAATAGACATGTGATTTTGTCAGGGCAGGGAGCCCCTGGTGGGGAAATACTCTACAAATGTAGATCAGCTCTTAAAGTCTTAGGGAGTTGCCTGGGAACACTGAGGTTAAATGACTTGCCCAGGGTCACACAGTTAGCAAGGCTTGAACTCAGGTCTTCCTGACTCCAAGGCAAGCTTCCACACTGTTTCTCCTTAGTAGATCATCTTTATGAGTTGTTGTGGCTGAAAAAAAATCTGTTCATGTCCTGGTGGTCAACTTTCTACTGTTACGATAATTAAAATTAATACATTCATATAGTGCTTTAAGATTTGCCAGCTTCAGGTCAGGGGAACTGAGGGGAGACTCAGCATTTGTAGTTGAATGAGCAAGAGTTATTGGGATACCAGGATAAGTTTCAGAATCAGATGGGACATATTGGGAAAGAATTGGGTCCAGATACTGAAATTCTGCTACCTACTACCTCAAGAAAGATTCAATTAAAGTTCAGTTCCATTCAATGCAGCAAATATGTATTAAGTGCTTGGTGATGAAGGCACGTCCATCAGAAAGAGTGCTGACTCTGGAGTCAGATGACTTGGATCTAAATCTTCCCTCTGATGTTCGCAACCTGGGTGATCTTGTGCAAGTCATAACTTCCCTGGGTGTCAGTTTCTCCATTTAACAGAAATGGGAGTTGGACTAAATGGCTTTTGAGTTACCATCTAGCTCTATATCTATGCTACTATGTGCAAGTCATTGTACTAGGCAGTGTCTCCGAAACAGCTTCCGTAGCAGGCTGTGGGAAAGGAGAAACTAGAAAGCCGGGGGGGGGGGGGGGGGGGGGGGGGGGGGGGGGGGGGGGGGAAGCTGTCCATGGTTCTGACAAACCTTAAGTCACTACCCAGCTACATTTGCTCTGTATACTCATCTTCCCTCATCTCTCCTCCGCCCCAACCAAGCACAGAGGTTCAGCTCCTTTGTTTCCTGGTCTCGTTGGGAAGTGCATTAAGTTAAGGGAAGATCCATCTCTAGATAAGAGACAGCTAATATAGAAGATGATATAGTTAGAACTGGAAGGCCTTGACGCTGTGAAGGATTAGGGGACATTCCAGCGTTTTAGTCACAGTTCTTGGAGAGTTTTCTTTTAAAGGGTTGTGAAATTTAAGTCCCAAGACCAGTTTTCCTTTCTCCTCTCTCCCTACCCAATTGTTCTCCTGGGGAGGGGAGCACTACCTTACCCAAATGTGTGAGACCATTCGTTCAATCCTAAAATGTGTTAAGGGCAGGAGGGTCAGTGAATGGAGACAGAAGGGGCTACTTGGTGATCCTGAGGGAAGCAAAAACCTTCCCATTGGCTGAGAGCATAAAAGATTTCTCCTGGGGCAGCTAGATGGTGCAGTGGATAGAGCACCAGCCATGGAGTTAGGAGGACCTGAGTTCAAATTTGACCTCAGACTTACTTAACACTTACTAGCTGTGTGACTCTGAGCAAGACACTTAACCCCAATTGCCTCACCAAAAAAAAAAAAAAAGATTCCTCCTTGAACTTCCCAAAGCAAGAGGTCTTGCCCAATAGCCTGGAATGACAGGAAGGAAGAGAGGGGGCACTAAATTGCTGTCATCCATAACCCATACGGTGAATGAGGAGACAGACTTTGATTCTGTTAATTGAAGCGGCACTGTAATGATCTACGCCAGCTAAGAGTCCAGGGATACCAACCGAAGCTGAAGGCCAGGCTAGGGTGATAAGACAAGCCAAGCTAAGGGGCTAAGGGGCTGGCTGGCTGCCAACTTTTGGGTGGAGCTTCCCTCTGAAGGCCTGTCAAAGCTCAGTACCACTAAGTCCCTTCACCAATCTCCCTGAGGATCTGGGCTAAGACTGCCAGGCCCAAAGGAAAAAAAAATCAGAGAATCTGAGTGTTCCACATACATTGAGAGGATGGAATGCCTAAGGGATTTAAGTTCCTGATGATTTAAGTTTCTGGCTCTACTACAAAAAGAGACTGAGTCCTGGCTGGGGAGGTTGAGAAAATAAATAATAGAGTAACTCAAGGAGAAATATCATCTTAAACTCAGGACTCCAGGCAAAATTAGGAAGCACCATCAGGGATAGGGAGTGGGGCCATAGGTAATCAGGTGACAAGAGCCATGCTGATGTCTCTGAACCCAAAGGAGTTCAACTATCTGCTCACTCCACCCCAAGATCCACAAATCTCTTTTGTTTCACAGGCCACTGCAGAACTGCTTTACCTGCGCAGGCTCTCCCCAGGCAGCTGGGTCACATGCTGGGTGCTGCTGCCCCAATTTTCCAAGAGGCACCAGCATTAGCTCAAATGTGACGCATCAAAGAAGAGTGTGTTTTCCTTCCTTCCTCCCCTGGGGGTCAGGAAGGGCCACCCCTGGGCCTTACTCATTCACCTCCCACAAGGTAGGGGAGGTCCCCTAGGGGTGGGGAGCAGATCCTGGCACTCAGCTAAGACCTTCACAGGACTGATCTCAGCATTCTTGAGTAAGGAATCAGCACACTAACTTGACTGGGGTGGGGGGAGGTGTTTAGGTGACATGCTTTGTTTTTCCTCAAATTCTCTATGATTCCAGTGTCTCCTCAACCCGAGGATAGAAGAGAAATGACTCAAAATCTCTTTAATACTACAACATAGCCTATTTAATGAAATTATCATAAAGCTCTGAATTTAAACATTTCTCTCTTAGAAACAACTAGAAGTGACTAGACATCACTTGCTCTCATAGTATTCCCAAGGGGATGCTCATCCTCTCCTTTCTACAGACGATGCAACTGGTCCAATATGGCAAGTCAGATTATTGATTTAAAGCTGGGAAGAACTTTAAATATCTTAATTTTACACATGGGGAAACTGAGACCCAGAGAAATGAAATACTTCCCAAGGTCACACAAGCACTAAGTAGCCGAACAGGATTTGAATCCTCAGATTCCAAATCCAAAGATCTTCCCACTTCACCATGGTGCTGGGAATCAAATCTCAGGCTATAACCCTAGCCCTTAGATCACTACTGCTCCCGGGTCCCAGAAGTAATGACTAGTAAGCATCGTTGTCCCAGGCTTTGGCCTCAATTAGTCCTGTGTCCACTTACCATCCCCCCTTCCTTCTCCCCCCCCTTTGGCCCTCAGCCCCTGACCCTGCTCAGTGGCAGGTGTTCTGTGCCTGCCCAATCCCCCAGTGACCTGCCTAATGAGCTAACAGACCCTGTGGCCCCGGGGGTGGCTGCTGACTTGGCCACAGCTGCTCTCCCTACTCCAGAAGGAAACCTGATTTGATTTCAGTCTCTCATCCCCAAGCCCTTTCTCTTCCTCCCCCTACCCCTAATAGAGCAGGAGATGGGCCAGTCTTCCTCTCCCTCCCCCTCCTCCCCCTCCTCCTTATTCTTCATTCTGAGCAGGCACAGATGTGTCTGAAGGGTCTGATGGACGATTAGTGCTGCCTCATGCTAAGGCACTGCAGCAGGTGCCTCCCCCAGAAGCCTCAGAGAAGACCCACACATACAATTTACATGTCAGTGCCACGTGGGCAGCCATCTCCCTTCCAGTATATCAATTAGCTTTTTGTTCCTCTGACTGGCTTCCTCAGGGGCTGCTACTTACCGGCTCACAGAGTTTAAAACTCAAAGACACTTCAAAGATCAGAGGATAACAGCTTTAAGGCTGGAAGGGACCTCAGAGGCCATTTCATCCAATTGCCTCATTTTAATGAGGGAAACTGAGGTGAACTCAATTTGAGTGTTCAGCTTGAACGCTCCAACCAGTGTTTTATTTTTTCCTCACTATGGTACCATGATTTCCTTCCACTCTAGCCCAACCCACTCACTTTATAGATAAGGACACTAAGGCCCAGGGAGGGGAACTAACTAACCCAAGGTCACATAGGTCAGTAAGTAGCAGAGCCAGGATTCAGAGCCAGGACCTCTGTTGTCTCAGCTGCCTTTGCACTCTTAGCAAAAGTGTTTGGGGTTTTCTTTTCCGCCTAATCCCAGCCCATTTCCCTTTTCTCTTTCTGGGTTGATTTTCATTGAACCACTTCCCCACTTAGGACTGTTATCTTTGTTCCAGATGAACTGAAGTTCCCTACCCTAACCGAAAGGCTAGGTTGTAGTTTTCCCCTTATTATTTCTGTGACCACCTGCCTGTGTAGATAGGACTTTGGCCTCAAGTTCATTGACCAGAGATTAGACCCCCTCCTTTCTTCTGATCTTCTCCCCCCACCCCCAGCCAGGTTGTTCTAGATAGATGCAGCCTTACCTTCCTCACGATGGCTTTGTTCCCTACTCTCAGCTTCTGCTAGACCCGTCCCAAGAGATCCTCATGACTGGCTTGTGGGGAGGAGTCAGCTTTAAGCTTGCTTCTTTCCTCTGCTGATCGCACCTCATTTCCCAAGAGGTGAACCCCCCCCCGGATCCCACTGGGCTTATTCAGGGTGGGGCCAGGACCTAATTCGTTCAGGATTAGATCCCCAAGGAAGGTCTAGATCTCACCCTTGGCAGCAGCCTGGGTTAGCAGAGACCTGAGACCAAGGTCACCCTGTGAATCATAGCACAACTCCACCCCTTCCTCCCCTGAAGAGAACAAAGAAAGAGGAGGCTAGGTCTGGGGAGGGTGGCTGTGAGGTTTCAGAGCTGGTACCAGAGAGTTTTTCTGGGGCCATATCTGGAAAGACCATCCAGAAAAGAAGTGTTTCTTAAAGTTAGGGCACCCTCGAAGAAACCGGAAAAAGGAGACAAAGAGGTGTTGGTTCTGGAAAGAAGACAGTCTACGCGGTCCTGCCACTGAAAGGAAGGGAGGGCTTGGAGGGGGAATACCAAGGTCTTCATTCAACTGCCAAGCCCAGCTCAGCCCCACCCATTTTTCCCTGAACTGAGACCTAAGGAACCCAGGACAGATCAGCTTCTCTGAGAGGAGTTTGGGCAACGCCCACCCCAGAGGAGCTCGGGGAAGGAACCTGGGAGCCGTCGCTGTCCAAGTTCCAATCCCTGACCACTAACTAGGGGGAAGACCCAGGTGGCCGGACCTCCAGCTTCCCCAACAGGGGGCGGCGTCAGCCTGAGTGTACGGGTGGACCGCTCCCAGGAGACAGGTAGCTGGGTCTAACAAATTGAAGGGTCGCACCCTCCCCGACCTCCCTCTCCCCACCTCCTTCAGCAAATTTGCCCTCGAAAGAAAGGGAGCCCTGCACTGGAAACTCTCCAGGGCTTGGGGAGAAGGTAAGGCTTCCCGGGGAATGGCAGGAGAAAGGTGGGGAACCCCGGCAGGGCGGGGACCCAGGCGTCCCGGCAGCCTGGCGGAAAGCTGAGCTCATCTCTTTGTTCCCGGCGCCGCAGTCCTGGGGTGTGGTTCGGACTGTGCAGCGTAGCCCGGCGCTCCCCTTCCCGCCCCCACCCCAGCCACCTCCTACCCCTTCTCCCCATCTCTGCCCCTAAATGAGCCGGCTGCACGAGTCCTTGAATGTCTCGTCCCCTTCCAAACGCCTCCTGGACCCATCCCAGGGACAGAGCTGTGGGTGCTCGCAGACCTTCCCCCATCTCCACCCCAAGCACGGCTCAGTACAAAGGCTGAGCGGGGAACCCCAGCTTCCAGCCGGGCCTGCCGAGAGCGGGGAGAGCCCAAGCGAAGCTGTCCAGCCCCAAGCTGCCGCAGTGGGTTGGTCCAGCGCACTCGAGCCTGGGGGAGGTGTCACTAAGCCCGCCCCAGCCCATTGCAATCCCAGCCCTAGCTCTGGTCCCTAATCTCTGTCCTGTCGCCTTCCCTGGTCCCTACCTTGGCTCCGATCTGGTTGCCGCACTGGCCGGCCTGGATGTGGACGATTTCCCTCATCCTCGCTGGTCTTGCTGGCTTGCTGCAAGGGGAGCGGCCGAGGTTAAGAAGTGGGACGCGTTCTTGCAGGCTGCAGAAGGCTGGGAGCTCATCGGCCGCTGGGTTTTATATGCTGCTCGCTGCTGCACCGGCGGCTGGGCAGACAGCGGCGTGCTCCGCCAAGAGCTGACCTCATCCTCATCCCAGCCAATCAAGAGCCGCCGGCGGAAAATGCTGCAACATCCCTGCAGCATCAGTACCAACCAGCGCATCCCCTCCCCCCGCCGCCCCCACCCTCCAGGTCCTGAGGGAGGGAGCTACCCACCCTCCCACCTCTGCTGCCCAGCGCAGTCACTTTGTCTGGCTGCACACAATGCCATGCAGGCTGCTAGGGCCCCTCTGGGAAGATCTAGACAGAATTAATAAAGGGGGATATGGCTGGAAGACTTCCCTCGGTCAGGGTTTTGGGGACCCTTCACATCTGAAGCAGAGGAGGCGTCTCCCGGACTAGTAATGAAAGAGGGTTCCTCTGAGGACAATAGCGGCTTTTCCACCCACCTGCTGGTACCCATCTAGATCTGCAAAAGCCGGGGTCGCACAGACCCCACCCAGATCAGCAGCGGGTGGCGGCGGAAGGGGCGGAGAAGGATGGGGGAGCGATCGTCTCCAAGTTACTCCAGACCTTCCTCCCCCATAGTCCGTTTTCCTTTGTTTCCTTCTCCAGCAGCTTCTCTTTCATTGTACCCTCAGTTTCAAGGCCTCCCTCCTCCTTTTCTCTTCCCCAAGCATCTTGGATTCTGGTGCCCTCTCTTTCTCTAGTCCCGGCCCCATCCTTTTCCAGGGACTTGAGGAGCTCCACCAAGCTCTGTTCCATCCTGCTCTGACCCCACGTGAGTTGTTGGGTAGCAAAGGAATAGAATTAAAAAGAAAGAAAAAGAAAGAGAGCGAGAAAGAAAGAATCAAAGAAAAGAAAGACAAAAAGAAAAAGAATTTCCTTTTTCTCGGGGAATTAAGGCATGAGGTCCCCTTGCTAGGAAAAGGAAAGTAGGGAGCCTACACCCTTAGGCTAGACCTCCCCTCCCCCACTTCAGCCTGGTCTGCAGCCTGTAGAATAAGCTTGAGGAGGGAGGACAGGATGTAACTGGGATAGTGGTCACCTATGCCTTAGAGAAGAGGTTCTTAAGCTTTTTAGTATGACACGTCCTCCTTTGACACCTGGTGGAACCTATGGAAACCTCAGAATAGTGCTTTTAAATACATAAGATACATGGGATTAAAATGGAAGCCAACCATACTGAAATAATTTTTTTAAATTCACAATTGCTCTGAAATCTATTTGTAGATTTCTTAAAAACCCCTGTCCTAGTGACCCCAGAGAACAACCAAGAGATGCTTGTTCAGTTAAAAGGTCCATGGACGAAAAGAGGTCAGAGGAGGAGGGGTGGCTTTTATTTATGCTAAGGGTCTGTTTTCCTGGGAAACAGGGCTCAGAATTTCCAAGACTGATGAGAATTGGAAACAGAACCCTGTTAGGAAACTCCTAACTTGAGAGTGTAGAAGGTGTAAAATGGCCAGTAAACCTCCCTGGGTGCCCACACTTGGAGGCTCAGTGACAGTGAAAGAGATATGGGCCAAGCCACAACATTCTCAGCCCCTCCCTGTGGCTTAAAGGTGAGTTTGGAAACCCAACCTAATCCTTGGGCTTCTTGCCCACTGTCATCAGAGCTCCTAGAGTCTCTCAATCTGGCTTTGTGCCAGGGTCCCAAGCCCTGCAGCTGGGGTGGTAGAATATGAGGTGGGGGGGGGGGACTTGGGGGTGGGAATATAAGGAGATCCATCCTCCCATGTTGGTCCCCTGTACAATGTGAGAGCAGGGCACTTGATCTCCCTAGCTCCCCAGTTAAAGATGTTGACCACTGTCCCTCTCAGTCCTTATACCCTGACATTTGCATTTGGTATACCGCCCATCAGTCACCATGTAAACTCCATTCCCAGGCCTCACATCCAGCAGAGGACAATCCCCTAGAATCCCAAAGAAAACTAGTTCAGCCCTTTGCCTTTCTCCCAACATCAAATTACAGTAATTCAGTCCCTAGGGAAACTGATCAATCAAAGTATCAGGGAGGAGAAGGAGGAATAAGACTTGAGCTGAAGCCGACCAACCCAAAAGAACAGAGCCCAGTTTGCTGTCAGTGGCGATATCTGGTCGCTAGAGGGCAACAGGGCTGCCTTTCCTGGAATGGCCCAATTTTCTGGACCAGTCCTGGCTTCACTTTGGCTGAAGGTATATGCCAGTTGAATAATCTCTTTGATCCCCACACTACCCACCATACAATGCCCCTCTTATCCAGGGCTCTCCAGCCACTTTGATAGTGTGAAAAGAGTGAAGTCATCAAACCTCACGGCTAACTCAGGATCAGAGTCCCTGGGTATTGTTCTCTGGGCATCACAGAGCTCTGGATAGAATGCTGCACCATCTGCAACCAGGAGCCCTGGGTTCAAATGCTAAAACTGACATCACCTAGTTTTATGACTGTTGGCCAATCACGCTATGCCCTTGAGCCTAGGCAGGACCAATCCTCTTCATAGGGTTCAGAGGAAACTGCTTTGCCATAGAACCATGAGTTTGTAATTTTTAAGTTGTAGGGAGGGGCTAAGGGCAAGTCTTGGAACAGACCCATTGCCTGAGTAATTGTGCTGGGAAGTCACAGGGAATAACAAAGGTGGGCAATATTGCTTATTACTCATGGGCACAGTTCTTCAAATAGAAATGAAAAGATACAAATTTCATGGTTCCCTCACAAGCTTTCCAGGATCTATCTGACTTCTGCAATGTGCAGCTTCCCCTCAGCACCTGCATACAATAGTTACTTAATATTTTTGTATAGTATATAGTATATACATGAACATTCCTGATTATAACATTGTACTTGGTTTTATGCTGAGACACGATTCGATTGTGAAATTACCTCTTAACAAAATTCCTCCTTTGAATGGATGGGGTCCATCAACTACATTACAAATTCAGCACTGAAGTTTTCTCTCCAGATTTTACTGGAGAGAAGAAATACACATGTACACATATACGCACACGTACACATATATAATATATATATATGACTATATAGTGTCTTTCAATATCTATTTCACTCATAGGTACATCTCTTTACAACTATGTATACATGTGTATACAAGCATGACTAGGCATTTGTGCATATGTCTGGGCACTATCTGTTGATGTAATCAGCGGGATCTGGGCTGTGAGTCCGAAGTATGTGCTTGCCAGTGTCTGTGGCCTGTGCAGGAGGGTTGTTTCCTTTGGTCCCTTCTTCCAGGAGAGGCTCTAGTGTTCTTAATTTCTAGAAATCTTGTCTTTTGTTCTTGAGCTACACCCTCTCTCCATCCCCGCCCTTCTCCCTTCCCCCACACACCTCCTCTTCTCCTTTATGATGTGGCCTCTCATGGTTGGTGTCTATGTGTCTGTAGCCCCTCCTCCCTCTCCCTGTTCCCAGGGTCCCAGGGTAAGGTATTTTAGTCGTTCTCTTTGGGTGGCTGCGGGAGGCTGGAAGGCAGGCTAACCATGCCGCCTTCTGCACCTCCCTCCCGGTCTCCATCAATACACCCAAGCAAGGGTGTTCACCGCTCAGCCCCACCCTGGCCAGCTCTCCCTCTGCTTGCAACACTAAGCCAGGCTCACTTTCTCTCTCTTCCAGGGGGAGGTCTGGTCTCAGGCTGCAGTCTGACTCATTCTCCCATCTTGCCGTGCCAGGAACCAGCTCTCTGGCCCCTTAGCAAGAAGTCTGGGGCTGGGGTTGGCAGTCCCATTTGTTCTTTGACCTTGTGCTCCCGGACAAGGAGAGAAGCCAGACAAAAGGAACTTGGGGAGAGTCAACAAGTATTTATCATATGTCTATGGTGCATGAAGCTAGAATACAGATGAGCTGTTCTTAAGACTCAGCTGGAGGGGTAGCTAGGTGGATAGAGCACCAGCCCTGGAGTCAAGAGGACCTGAATTCAAATATGACCTCAGATACTAGCTGGGTGACTCCGGGCAAGTCGCTTAACCCCAATTGTCTCCAAAAAAGAAAAGACTCAACTTGAATTTCATAATAAGAGAAATAGAATGTTTTGTAGGAGTTGATGGTCCTTGTTTCAAGAAGGCAGGGGAGCAAGCAGAATAAAAGGGTGAGGGAGGAAGAAGGGGGAGAGGCCCTAAAGGGGGGTGTGGCGCAGGAAGCGGTGGGAAATCAGATTTGGGCTTGAGAACAATCATGTTAAATAACAGCATTTCTATAGCGCTTAAGGTTGGCAAAGGGCATTATATGTGTTATGCCATTTGATCTCCAGGACAATCCTACGTGGCAGGTGCTACTATTATCCCCATTTTAAAGATAAGGACTGGAGGTCCATCAGGTCACTTCAGTACAAGCAAGATAGCAATGGAGAGATTCAGATTTCATGGTTCCCCCCCTCCCCAAGCTTTCTGGTAGCTGCCTGATCTATCCAACCAAATAAACTAGAGAGGACATCCTCTGTTAACATCCTTGCCTTTGAGATGTGTCCAGAATGATCATAAAAGGCCTCACATTCAGAAGATAGAAGTAACTGTTGAATCATAGATTGCTAGGTCTTGGATGGGACCTGAGATCATCTAGTTCATTCCTATCATTTTGCAGATTGGGGAAACTGAGGCTCAGACAGGGGATATGACTTGTCCCAGGTCATATATCTAGTTAGTGGCAGCAGGGACTAGAACCCAGGGTTCTCAAATTTCACTAAAGTGAAATACATAATACATAATGTTGCTTGAGCTGGAACAAGGCTGAGAAAACCCTCTGATCTGGGCAAAAGCCAACTCTCTTACAATGCATGGTGTTCAATTCCCACCCCTAAAGCTGCCCTATACAACTGTTTTTGCCTCTGGGGGGGCGTTTCAGGACTGGAACTGATACTTAGCTTAGTTGGGTATGTTGGGACCAAAGCTTGTCGAGGTGGAGACAAGGCTTCTAGCCTCACTTTACCTTGGACTCCTTCCTTCCCTTGCCGGCTTCTAGATGGTGATCAGAGAGAAGTGACTTAGGAAACACTAGATTTAACGTCAAAGGACCCCGAGTAATCTGCGGCTTACTATTTTGCATGACATCTGAGCCTCAGTTTCCCTCTAAGTCAAATGAGGAGGTTGGCCTATAAGATTCCTTCCAACTCTGAAATTCTGTGATTCTTGGAGGAGCTCGCTCAGTCTTCAGACTTCTCTCCTTAAGGCCCTGGGTTATACAGGGCTCCAAGATTAACCAATTTCTTCACCAATATTCTGGGGCTTTCTCCTCTAAAGGAAAGCTTTTTACTCTGACTCTGGGCTAAATCAGGCAAGATCTGAGAAGCTGAGTCCAGTTCTTAGCTTCTGCCTTCCTGCCTATTTATCACTTGCTTACCTTCCCCTCTCCCACCCCTCCTTAAGGGATATGAAAGGACAAAGAGGGATGATGAAGTATAGTCACAAATCCACCCCCCATCCCTTCCTGGCAGTCAAACATAGAGTCTGGGCAGACAGTGGCTGTATTGTCATTTCTCAATCACACAGTTCCCACGCAGCCTCAGTAACAATCACTAACCCAGCCAGGTCAGGTCTGTGGCATGGACAAGAGCAGGGGAGTCAGAGTCAGTGGCCAAGCTGGGAGCAGAACCTCAGTACTGGAACTCCCAGTCATTTGCCCCTGGTTACCACTGGCATCCCACATGACTGCATGTCCTAGGAGTCTTCAATATCTTGGACCTGGGTGGGGAGGTAGGAGGGGTGGGGGCAGGGTACTCCAAATGCTTTTTCATGGCTCCGGCTGGTGTTGAGGTATCATCTTTCCAATTTGGAGTGCGCAGGCCCTGCCTCCTAGATGCAGTATCCTTAGCCAACTGAAGCAACGACAGGAAGGAGGTGGGGAGGGAACAGGTCTCTAGGTACTCATACCAGGAACAGGCTGAATTTCAAGGCTTTGGGGATGGGGTTGGAAATCTTAGCCTCAAATGAAGGATAAAAGTGTATCAGATGCTGGGGACTGTTCTCCTGTTCCTGTCGTATATATTATGTGCACACCTGAGCTTCCACAGAGCACATAAGTGAAAGTGAGTGCTGTGTGTACACGTGCACAGACACGTACACACATTTTCTCTCTCACACATACACACACACACACATGCATTCCATTGCAGCATCCTTCTCAAAAGGGCAAGTCAGAAGTTGGAGGCCAGGCTGACTAACGATGCATATCCCTCTTCACCATGGGGTAGAACAAATTGTGCTCACTAACCAGAACATCCGGACCCCTTTGCAGATGAGAAGCTGCCCTCCTCCATTACATTCTGTCCCACTGGGTTTCTGCATGCCTGCATGCATGGGCATTCGCAATGCCCCACCCTTGCCCCTTACCAGGAACACAGAATCACCTCCTTGAGTGTCTTGCGAAGCTCTTGGCTGCGGAAAGCATAGATGAGAGGGTCGATGATGGCATTGCAGATGATGAGGATGAGAAAGAGGTTGAAGTTCTGGAAGTAGCAGCTGCATGTCGGATGCTTGGGACAAAGGACAAGAAGTGTGAGGTGCAGGAAGAAGGGGGTCCAGCAGAGGAAGAAGATGCCCAACAGGACTGTGAGAGTGACAGCCCCCTTGAGGATCGACAGCTGGTGAATGGTGTATCTGTTGCATAGCCGAGCAATCCTCCTGGCATGCTGGCATGCCTGGATGAACATGTGAATGTAGAGGACCACCATGAGCCCCAACATGGACAAGAAGAAGCCAATGAGACAGAGCAGAACTGCAACATGGTTGTAATAGGAGATGAAGAGGGTACCAGAGAGGGCACTGGACACCCAGATGCCCACAAGGACTCCTTGAGCTCGACAAGGAGTGACAATACTGTGGTAGCGCAGGGCGTAGAAGATACTGATGTAGCGGTCAACTGCGATGGCTCCTAGGAAGGAAATTGAGGACATCATGGAACCACAGATCAACACATCAATGATATTGTGAAGCTGTTGCACCGTCGGCGCCTGCATTGCCAGCACCCCTTTCTCCAGCAGTAGCACCACCAGGATCTCCAGCAGGTTACTGACACTTACCAGAAAGTCTGATAGAGCCAGGCAGCAGACAAAATAGTACATGGGGGAATGGAGGTTGCGATTCTTGATGATGGCCACCACCACCATGACATTCTCCACCAGGCTCAGCAGCCCTAGGGTCAAGAACAACTCATCGGGAATGAAGAACCCATGGCACAGAATATTTGTCTGGTTGGTGGGGACAATTTGATGGAGGGCATCTGGGGAAGTGGAGTTCAGAGAGTTAAACAATCTCTTCTGTTGACCTGGCATCGGCATAGTTCCGGGTTAAGAGTGAGGAGCTGGGAATGTGAAACTAGTAACACATATGAACTGGAATTTCCAAATTCCTACCCCTGGAGGGCTTTCTCAAAGTCAAACAGCTGCCTGTTGCTGTTTCACTTCATTGTTCTCATCAGTTAGTGTCCAGAGGAATCCCTGATGTTTATTCCCCCTCCCCTCCCCTCCTTTGATTTCAGACAAAAATCACAGCCATCAAATCCACCCCATACTCATTATTTCTCTAACCTGTCAAAGGACATCCTACTGATTCCATTAGCACAACAGAGGCTGCAATAACTCAAGTCACATCCAATGTTGCCTAATCAACCTTTCTCTATTGCTTGACTCCAGGACCCAGAGAATCTCAAATTTCCTGCCTGAACAAACCCAAATTCTCAATCTGTGCACTTTTCTCTTCTCTCTGCCTTCACAGAATGTTGTGTTCCACAGGAATGGAATTTTCTTTCTTTCTTTTATTTTCCTCTTGGCTTTTTCATCTATTTTCTTTAGCTGGGTGAAGCAAGTAAGCCAATAGGACATGAGGTCCACATCTCCACAGTATCTGCAACCCCTGGGAACTCCAGCCGCAGCCTTCTGCCTTGGTCCAAAGAAATGGATCGGAGCTGATATCCCAGTGAAGAATGAAGTCTCTCTCCCCCTTCCTTTAAAGACAGTCTGTGGTGCCCCTCCTTCAAAGGAGGCTGATGGACCACATGATAGCAGCTCATGCTGGGAATGCCCAGCATAGCAGAATGATTAGTTATGAAACTTGTCAGAGCTGAGGAAGTTCAAAACCTTACATAAATGTCCTGTAGGTACTGCCTGCTAGATTCAAGTAGCTGACAATGAAATCAGTGGCATCAGGGGTTCTGAACCCAAAGCAGCAGTGCTTGAAGGGGCTGAACTAGGAATACTGGATTGTTACAAGGAAGATAAGCTTCAGCTCAAAATCAGGAAGCTTTTTTTCAGCAGGGAGAACTGCCCATAAATTAAATTGGGTTATTTTGTTACAGCAGGTTCCCCAGCACTACAAGTATTTGAGCAGAGGCTAGGTGACTCAGCTGTCAGGTATATTGTAGAGGGAATTCCTGCACTGAGGCCCCAGTTTGGAAGAGATAACTCCCAAAGACCTTCTCAATGTTAAGATTCTGTGAACCCTAAAGGTTAAGTTTGTATGGAGCCTTTCTGTTCCTCCTCTTAAGTCCCAGCAGGACAGAGGGCGCCATAATTGCATTTAATGAGGCAGCAGTGATACAGAGGTTAGGAAGAATTGTAGTGACAGTCCATTATTCAAATAATTATTTTGCCTCTCTTTCCCAAACAGTGAAGCTCTATTCATTTATTTGAGATCTCTAGCCCAAGATCTTAGACACACGCTACCATGAAAGTTCAATACTAGGCCAAAATGAAAAGGAGGCAGCCATCCTCACCTGCAAATTGAAATTGTGCATGCCACTAAAACAATGCTTGTTGTCCTTCATTCTCAAAGAGGACCAAAAATGACATCAGTATGTTAGAGGCAAGTTACAGTGTGTCCGACTGTGGCTGATCGGACCAATGTGAGATCAGATATTTAGGGTAGATTCTCTAAATTTGGGCATCTCGAATTTCTTTTGAGCTACTTCAATTCTGCTTTGCATAGAGTACAGCACCTTCTCTGATGAAGGCACATCACACTGGTGTGGTCCTGTGCCAGTGTGTCCCATGTCTCGCAAACAATTCCAAAGTTCTCCAGAGAGACCTCGAGAGTGTCCTTGTATCATTTCTTCTGACCACCATGTGAACGCTTCCCCTGTGTGAGTCCTCTGCAAAACAATCTTTGAGGCAAGCCTAAGTTTGGCATTGGAACAATGTGGTCAGCCCACTGGAGTTGCACTCTCTGCAGAAGAGTTTGAATGCTTGGCAGTTTGGTTCGAGAAAAGACCTCAGTATCTGGTACCTTATCCTGCCACGTGATCTTCAGAAGCAGCCCAATTCAAACAGAAGCAATTCAGTTTCCTGGCATGGTGCTGGTACACGGTCCAGGTTTCACAGGCATACGACAATGAGGTCAGCACAACAGCTCTGTAGACCTTCAGCTTAGTAGTCAGTCTAATACCTCTTCTCTCCCACACTTTCCTCAGGAGCCTCTCAAACACTGAGCTAACTCTGGTAAAGTGTGTGTCAACTTCATTATCAATATGTATATTCCTAGAAAGTATACTGCTAAGGTAAGTGAACTTATCCACAGCATTCAAAACCTCTCTATTTGCTGTAACTGATGGTTCCATATACGGATGGTGTGGTGCTGGCTGGTGGAGTACCTGTGTTTTCTTGGTGTTAATTGTTGGGCCAAAATTAGCACAAGCAGCCAAGAACTGGTTCATACTTTGTTGCATCTCAGCTTCAGAGGCGGTGTTGAGTGCACAATCATCGGTGAATAAAAAATTATGCACCAACTCTCCCTCCACTGAACATAAGCCCAAGAATGCAACACACCTAAGGAGGGCCTGCTGATAAGAACGAGAGACCCTTCTGGCTTAAGTTTGCTTAAGGGTGGTTAGCCATGCCCCATTGTACCATTCAGCGGCAGTGGTAGGGTGGCGGCTAGCACTTTTTTCTTTTTATTAAACATGCTTTGTTGGTGGTCTTTTCATTTGTTATATCACCATCACTTCCCAATGATTCCATTCCACCCCACCCTTATTTTAACAAATAAATCTAGCCTAGCAAATAAATCAATGCCCTGGTCAGGTCTGAAAACTGAGACAGGAGGCATGCTTCACCTTCCTCTGAAGATACAAGGGGACACAGCATTGGTCACCAATGAAGACTTTTCAGTGTTGTTCTCCTTTGCATTGTTATGGTCACATGTAAACTGTTCTGGTTTTGCTTCCTTCACTCAGCATCAGTTTATTCAAATCTTCCCAAGACTATCTGAATTCTTCCCTTTTGCTATCTTGGGCATCTCATGTTTCAATTATATTCCATTCATTCATATGTTACTGTTTGTTCAGCCAGACTTAGGCACTTACATTCCTTCCAGGTCTTTGCTATTTTATACATGAAAACCTCTTGGGGGAATATTCCTAACAGTTTTATTGCTGGGTCAAAGGTTATGTATAGTTTCATTACTTTTTTAGTAAAATTCCAAACTGTCTTCTAGTAGAGTTGTCCTAATTTATAGCTTTACCAATGATGCATTAATGTACCTGTCTTCCTAAAGCCCCGCCAACACTGTCTGTTGGTCACTTTTGCCCACCTATAAGATGCGAGCTGGGACCAGAGTTGTTTTAATTTATACATCTATTATCATTAGTTATTTGGAACATTCTCTGATAAATGACTTTTTGACTTACACTCCTCAACCCAAAGCAAGGATTTGTTTGGGATGAAGGCCAGTAACAGCTCTCTATTCTTTCATTTCCACTGGCCAGCAAGACCACATTGGCCCCAGGGAAAGAGTCACATCAGACCTAGACTTCTCGGCTCCAGCACTGGTTAGCCAGAAGCTGAGCATGTTACACTGAAAATCATTCATGGCAGAGCAGAAAGCGCCCACAGGGAGGGTAGTGTGATGACAGGGAATTACCCCTGCCACGATGTCGATGGCTACAAATAGCATGGATTTGGATACTGTCTTTCTTCCAAAGAGCTCAAAGCATTTTCACATTGACTCTCACAGGGAATGGGGTTATTAGCCTCATTTTTGCAGATAGGGAAACTGAGACAAAGATAAAGTGACTCGTTCCAAGTCATATAACAAATCAGAGGTGCAGCTGGAACCAGAACTCAATTCCATCCAATATCTGGTCTCATGTTTCACATCAACGTGTCTCAATCTTTTCCAGTCTATGACACGTAGGGAAAGCATCAGACCATCTCGTGGAGTTGTGCCCTTCCATTCAGCCACATTAGGTGATCACCTATCTCTGTCTGCCTGATTCCTCAACTGTAAAATGGGGATCATAAAGCATCCACCTCCCCAGGCTGTTGTGAGGACAAATGAGATATTTGGAAAAGGCTTTGTACAATGTCTGGCACATAGCAGGTGCTGTATAAATGCTTATTTTCTTCCCCATCTGTAAAATGAAAAGGCTGGGCTAGCTTAACCCTCTTCCTTCCTGGTTTAAAAAAAAATTGTTAAAAGAGAGTGAAAGAACCCAGGGCATCACGATACACCAATGTTATCTCCCTAATACCCTAATCATGCGAGCGCCCTGGTCGGGTAAAAGGGGTCCTCAACATGCCCTGGCACCTGGGAGTTTATGGAATACCAAATTATTTGTTACCTTGGGCAAATGACCTCAACTCCCTGGGCCTGAGGCTCCACATCTGAAAAACAAGGGTGGGAGGAGAGGGAAAGGTGGTGGAGGAAGGAACTCCGAGATCTCTCATCTCTTTCCTCTGACTTCTACAGCCATCCTGGCATCAGTACCACTGGAAGCCAGCTCCCCTACATTAGATAATCCCTCCCTGGGTTTTTCCTTGCCAGTAGGGAGCTTAACAGACCCCTATCCCAGTTCATCTCTGAAGGTCTAAACAGCACAGTGATAACTCAAACCATTCTTTGTATTTGCTGTATGATGCAGAATCAGGACCAATGGACTCTGCTCTCTTTCAGCTTTCCTGTCTCTGACCACAGCAGAAAGGAGCGGTCCCCGAGTTTCAGTGATATTTTCAGTCCATAAATGAGACCTTTGACATAGATGCCCTCCACCCACCAAGGCACACAGACTTCAAAGAGCGTGAGAACGGGACAACCTTTGGCAGAAAGCTGACCGCAACCTCTTCCTGGCGAGACCCTGGCCAGTGGGCAACTGAGAGAGGGCAATCTTCCCTCAGGGCACCCACATTACATTAATTCTCATTAGGATAAAAATGGTCACTTGGTTAGGACTTCTGAAGGCCATGGGCACAGCATTATTAGCCCACTGTCATGAGGACATACATAATTGAAATACATAGATAATCACAACCTAACACTTCAACTGTCTTTCTCTAGAGGTATGACTGAT